CTATGTAGGGCAACTACGTCCAGTCCCGATGGAATCGATATAAGCCTTATAAGCTCCACATGAACACTCTCAGCCCGCGAGCCGCGAGGGCGCGCGCCCAGGGCGGGCACCTCTTTGATCTGTAGGATCACCAAAATCGCCGAGCACCACCACATGGACGTGAAGCCAAAGACCTTGCGAAGGTATGGATTTCATGGTCGGAGCCCGTGTTTCTTTTTAAGTGAGGCTATGTGACAGACCATGAAAAAGCAGGCACAGTGAACCAAAAGCGGGCGCAGTGGACATGAGAAGAAGCATCAGCGCCTTTTTGGGGGAGAGATGGGCAATGATGGGCATACGGCATATGTTCTCCTGGTCTTCGGACCATTCTTCTATCAGTCAAAACCACCCGAAAAGAGGACCACGTTTCTATCCAACGGCCACGGGGTGTGTTGAAGGACACTTGATACATCATACATCGAAGAACACACAAAGCCATGGTGTGACTCGAGAACAACACCAACGACCAGGGCCCACCGTCGTCTACAGGTCACCGAAGACCTCAGTTCTGAAAAGTCTACAAAGGCCACCACCGACGCGACCTATAGAGTCCAGGTGCGTGCTATTGAATCCCTAGACTTCCGTTCGTCCATTTTGAAAACATGGGAACGACCTGGTTTTTGTAGTGCAAAAAAATCTAAAAATCCTGAGTTGATTCGGTAAAACCTATAAAATTAATGGTTGGCCAGAAGCCTGTCGGGGAATGGAAAACAACATGCAGCATGTCGAACATACAAAAACGAACCACATCCCACAAACACCGAATCCTTGGGAGTTCTACACCTTTGTCTTGGGGATCGATCAGCCCCGACGTTCTATGCAGGATACCTTTGGTCACATTCCGTGAAGGAACGGCGAAACAAGTGGAACGGACTGGAATTTTTGGGAGGGCACGATGGGGTTTCAACCCAAGGTGATGATGATGATGATGATGATGATGATGATGATGTCACAGTAATTACATCCCAAGGCCTTTCTCCAAAGTGTTTACCCACTGTTACTGCTACTGGGACACAACCCTATACATATGATATGACCACGCCCCGCTCTGGACCGACCGAGCGTTTTCTCCGCCTGGAGCGCCTTCTGCGCCAGGCGCCATTGCTGCGGGACCTCTGGGCTCTCCACGTCCTCAGTGGTCCTGGGGAGCCGAGTGGCGGCCGAAGCGGCCGAACGGCCGGCGGCAGCAGGGAGAAAATCGGAAGAAGTCCATTTGGAATGAAGATCTGGATCCGGATTTTGTGATCCATTTGGAATGAAGAATCTATTGTGAAGATCCATCTTGTTTAATGCAATATTCCACGCTCTGAATATTCCACTCTGATCCGGATGCAGCAACAAACTGTGTTGGTTGTCCGCTGGCCTTAGACTTAGGATCAAATCAACTGTGGTACTGGACTGGGTTCCTAATGCCCCACCACAGGTCAGTCAACCTCCCCAAAAGATGAAGCTAAGGAACACCCAGGAAAAAGCATCAACAAGCTAGGTCAAGCTACGGCCTGAATGGAACTTCTTATGGTTAAAAAAAGCGAATGGTTAGAAAGTTGGCTCAGTTTGTGGCACCCGTGTCCGACATGTGCTTGAAAAGCACATGTCGACCGCCCAAAAACTTCCCGACCACAGCCGGACACGTGTTGACGCTTCCGCGGACGGGTCCCACCACACCCTGTCGAGCACACCGTGGTGGCGTCGATCGCATCTTCAACATCTTCCACCCCAAAGGTGTGCTGAACACGTGGAGTGAACGCGGAAGTGGAATGACACGATCTGACTTTAAAGGATGAACTGTTGGGGTCCTTCAATCCCTTGGAGTTGGCCATGGAACGGCTGCAATCGAAAAAGCCGCCGGAACAGGAATAGTGATACCAGACTGAGAAAGCCTGGAAACCTTCGGCACACTCTTCAGGTATGGTGTTCTGCCCCCAAAATCGGTCGACTCGCTAAACTGAGTGGGGCATGATCTGCCTGATCTGCCCACTGGCAGGTCACCACAAAAAAGAGCAAATCAAAAAACAGAATTGGCTTTAGCATGTTTTAGCAGATACGAGTACAAGCAGCAAGCATGCTAGAGGAAAGAACAAACATGGTACATCTCCAACATATCGAGCAAAAGCGAAATGTGTAAATCAGAAACAAGTCCCCAAACGTGGAGGTGAAGAGCCTCCAAATCGTTTTGTCCAACTTCGCTCTTGGTGAGTCAGGGGTGTACCTATTCAAGTTCAGGATGGTGTGGGGGTGCATCCGAGTGCATCCTTCCTCCTCCCCTGGATTCGAGCAAAATATATCAGGACAAGAGGCAGCCGCAAATATCCTTGGCAAAAAAGGGGTCCGTGCGAGTCGGTTCTTCTTCTGGGAGATTTGGACCCAATCCCCCATGCCATGCCCTATAGGGATCCAAGTACCTTTTCAGAAGTTGTTTGGGGTGGGTTTGGAGGGTCCAGGTGCCTTCTGAGAAGGTACTTGGATCGCTAGGGATGGTACTTTAGGCCTTATGGCTGGATAGAGCAGGCAACTTGGCTGCCTGATTGGCACATTCAAGTACGGGGTGGTGGAGTTGTGTGATCTTCGATGGGAGAGGGCATGTGATCAGTGATCATCTGGCCGTGGGCCAAGCGAGGACATGAGGAAGCTCCAGCGATCCATCGAGGCTGGTCCGGGCCGATGGCCATCCAGAAAGATTTTGTTTTCTATATCGCCCTGAGGATCGAAAGTTAGCTCTATATGCTAACATTTGGGGTTGTGTCTTCTGGGGCTCTCCGACCTCACCCTGTGAGGCCCGACCTCAAAAAACGAGATCATACCAGAACCCAAAAACCACAAAACCACAGAACCCAAAAACCACAAAACCAACGATCCCAAATCAAGGCCCGTCACGGGTTGTCACGCTGGAGTCCGACAATGACCTCATTTTGAAAGGGAAAAATAGACCAATCACGGTCTGTCACGGTTCGTCACGCCCTGGTATGCTTGGTTGTTGGGATTTCATGGTCTTATCCTCCGACAATGATACTGGAATTGTATACACATTTCAGGTACCCCAATCTGTGATTCGACAACGTCTTCAAATAACACAATCAATAGAAACGTATGCATATCCTGAGATCATTTCTATTTGTGACCTATGTGTGGTCATGGATCGTCAGGGTCGAATAGAGTTCTGACTGGCAACATGTCCTGCTCAAGCGAATGAAACAAGCGTGTCCTGCTCAAGAGAGGATCCTCATGAGTAAATTTGGCTCTCTGGATGATCAACGGATGCCCCCTACCGCACCCACATTGCAACCATCTTCCCCAAGAGGAACGCAAGCTTCTTCCATGGGGGACCCATGGAAGTGGATCTCAGGGCTCCAGGTCTGGTTCTTGAGGGTTGCATCCCCAATGGCTCATGGCAAGTCGATCGAGCACTAGGACCCAGTTCCCAGTCGTCCGTCCGCCCACGTGCGCCCACCGGCGCTCGAGTCCCAGGCACCACCAGGGCTGGGATAGGGGATCTTCGTCGGCATGAGGGCTCCGGCCAAGCACGGGACCATCCGTCGGCCAGTGACGTGACGTGACGTGACGTGACGTGACGTGCGTGGCCCAACGCAGCGTCGACGGGGCGTGGCGTTCGCTCCGGCGTTCGCGGTGGCGGAGCGTCGACTGGGCCGAGCTAAGCTGTCAACAGCAGGTGGAAGGGCCCGACGAACTGTGGACTTATCCCATAGATGGGCACCGGGTCGGTTACGGGCGCTGGTTCCGGTCACTTAACCTACCTCTCTTGGTTGAAGGTTATTGGTTCCTTCACTCAGCTGAGTGGCAGTAATCATCCTTTGGATGTTGCCGGAAGGTGTTCACCTCTGCGGGGCTTTTCGATGGGGGACCTGTTCGATCCGTGTGGCGCCTTTCAACCGAGTTCAACACATGGCCGAACGGTCGTTCTTAAGGGCGATGTCTCCACCAAAACGATGTGGAAATGTGAGATGTCCATAAGTATGTGACTGCAAGAAAGCTGAAAAAGGCCACTTAATCACTATACTTCTGTGCCCGCACCAAGTAGATGTTCAATTCAAACTATATATATATGTATTATGTGTTTCTTGTTTGCAAAGTTGTTAAAGCTTGGTCGCGTTCAAGACTTCGCTGGGCCAAGACCGTACCATGTTTCACTCGCTCAGTGCCATGACTGTGGGTCTCTGTGATGCTTCATTCATCGAGTCCCTTCGGGTCTTCGGAAGATCTGAAGCCAAGAAGCCACAGGCGCGCATGACGTTCGAGGTCAGAGGGTCCGCATGAACGACTCCAGCATGGAAGGAACAAGGATCTGTGATGATCTGTGTTAAAGTCAAGAGGTACAGAAACTTGATAGGAATGAATGAATGATGCACAAGTTTCTGTATAAGAAAGGATCCCAGTTTTTTTGTACGTTGTATTCCACATAAAAATTCCTGATAGGACGAATCCCAGGTCTAGTTTGGCACTAATTACATACGGAACCTCCAGTAGTGAGGCCTCACTACGCAAAAAGGTCCCAACTAAAGTTCAGGATGGTCTCAGGTTTAAAGCACATGTTGTAAGGACAAAAACTGCAAGGCGCAAACACGTCGTCATGACTGTGCTGCACGCGTCGTCATGGTCATAAGTGGACGAGGCCCCTCCAAACCCACATGTCACAGGAATCTGTAAATCGGTTGCCAAGAACTGATATAGAAGATGGCCTTCCCCCTTTCTAAGGTTTATGCACAGTGTCTTGGGGATCTCATAGAAGTTCCATTGAGAGATGACCATCCGGGCCCTACACTGGAGAAGCGACCCCAGTTTTGGCACATATGTCATTTGGAACCTGGTCTGACATCCCTGGGCCGCTCTTGCTGACATCCAGCAAGGCACTGGGGATGGTGAATATGGGCTGGGGGACGTCAATGCCCACCGTATTCATTTCAGGGTCTTCCACTTAGGAGCGATGGGGGTGTGCGATTCCGCTCCTCATAGATGGCGGTGCTGACAGCTCCAACCCGGCGGTAGTGCTGCTCCGGGCCTGGCTTGCCTGATTGCTCTGGCAGCAAGTTCCCTGCATTCGCTGAAAAATACATACCATACCAAAAATAAAGACTCAAAAACATCCCAACGCGCGACCATCAAAAAACACAAACTCTAAGCAGTGATCGTCCACCAATAGATAGGCAAAAGAGTACCTCCGTGCCGGGTTCGGCACTAACTGCGCGTACGAAAACTGCACGTGGATCGTGTGGGGGTTTCCACGGATCGGCCAAGACACCGTTGCAGAGGCAGCAAACCGCCAAGTCATTCGCTGGATCCGCAAAAGCCCAGGAACTTTGCCTTGGAAACTTTCGCTCGCAGGCTGCGGTCGCGTCCGACCCGAAGCTCCGGATCCTTCATGTTCATTCCGAAATGCATGCATTGACGCAGTGACCAAAAGGTCTGCCAAAACTGTGATGAACTGAGCCTCTCTGCTACATTTGCCAAAAATGTTTCCAGGTTTCCAGCAAGTAGCGTGTGATGGCCGGTGGTTACAAGAGGTCGATGAAATTCATACGCGGGCCTTCTCAATGGGCTAAATATCGTTTCGACCCACTTAAGTCTTCTCCGCGATCTTCACGCACAAGCTGCGAGCCCCCATGGCCATAGGCTTTCGCAGACGCGTAGCGGCCTGGTCACGCAGCCCCGCGACAGTAACACGATCAGGGTCAGCTGACTTACTCTGATGGGCATTGGATTCACCAGAGCCAGCGTATTTCAAGCACTGGAGCTTCGACTTCCTGGGTGCACCTGCAGATGTTTGTCTTGCAATGACTACTGTGAGACCGCAAGCTGCCCTGGCACGGTACTTGCTAGAGTGATGGCGACGCTCATGGAGCTCCATCTGAGCACACTCGCCAAAAATTCCACGGAAGGGGCGAACATCAACTTCACATTAAATGAAATGCAAACTGATGACCTGGTTGCATTTCAATTTCAGCAGAATGCGTGACGTGCACATCTAAAAGGCAAAGGTTCCGTACGGGCTCGGTAGAGGTGCAGAGCTAGAAGAGGAGCGGCTTCCACTATCGATCTCAAACTGGCGGCCTGGATCGCATGCCATGTTCCTGGGTGTTTCTTGGAGTATTAAGTGTTCCATCCCTCAGGCTCAGAAGCAACACCAGTCTGCTGGAGCGGTCAAGTGTGGTTCATGTGGTCCATTTCCAAAATCCCCTCTAATTAGTTGGAAACATGACTGCAGCCGATCACCTTCTGAACTGGGAGCTGAACTGGGTGACAGGACTTCCAACATCGAAACCGAGGTGTCGGGACCGGAAAAAAGCAACCTGATGAAGTAGTGCGAGCTGACTCAGTTTTACCGCAAGAATCTGTAAGACTATAATGATATGGTAAAGCTATGTGTAAAAGTGATTGTTGACTAGAGTTTTATACTGTTTTACGTGAGACTATTATATATACTAGTCACACATGCATATACAAATTATATATATACTCTTCTCCACCGAAAGGTCAACTGGCAAACCTCCCAACCAGGCCCCAAGCGGTGGTTCTCACCACTTCCACATCACTCAGACAGGTCGTCAATGGCCGGCCTAGCTGGTCACTCACTGCCAGGTCTTCTTGTGGAGACCCAAAAAGCATCCGACGCAAAAGTTGGTCGCCTGTAGAGTCTGGGACTAGTCTGGTCCTGGTCTTTCTTTATCCAACACTTCGGAACAACCTGCGCAGACTTCTCCATTCTGATCCAAAAACGCACGTGGCGATCAGTTTGATTGATTTCGCTACTTGGGAGATGACCCAAACTTGGAAGAAAGTGTGAAGGGGCGCCACCTGGCCTGTCAGGGCAATGATGAGATCAGAACCTTCATCTGACTTCGAGCAAATTGAGGGCCCTAGAAGTTTGAGCCATACCCAATCTTCCTCGCAGTTTTCTCGTGTCTTCACCAGAAAATGCAGCACCAGCTGCCAGCTGCCACAGTTCGCAACCACCTTTACAACCGTTCGCTTAGATGAAATTGTGCGACACCTGTTTTTGTCCCCTCCCATTCCATTTCGGTCGTCGCCCACCTCCCGAACTGAACTCGGGTTCGCGCAGCATCCGAGAGGGGAATGCTGAGCCGGATCCCAGGGGCACTCCAAGGGATGAGGGAAATGGGTGTGTATTGTCATAAGGAGACCCCTTGCATTCAATGCCTTAGACGGGTCTATCTTCCAAACCTTCCAGGGGCTTCGGAACGCCGAAAGAGGCCTCTATGATAGAAGGTTTTAATATACACACCCATATGAGGTCGAAATCAACCGAAGAGATCAAAAATCCGGATGACTCAACTAGGAATCCTCCACAAGCAGGTGCTTGTCCACTGCCATGGTGGGATGTCGCGAAAAAAATTGATTGATAGTTGGTTGGTGTGAATTGCTAGAATCCCTTCCGTTCCATTCATGCAACACCTACTGCATGTGGCAAAGACACACCACAACATATCACAACATCACTCCAAGGATTGATCAAGTCCGAATCACTTAACGTAGACTCTTGATTAATACACCGCCCATTTGAATTGAACGTCCTCTTCAAAGAGGGGGTAATTAATCAGGAGTCTGGCCTGAATCTGAATCTTCTGATTCCCAGGACCGAGTAGCTGACGCGAACAGTCCGCTCGTATGAATATTCATCAAGAGTCTACAGCGAATCAAATCCGTTCTATCTCTACAGCAGTCTCACCGGAAATCCTGCACCCTCAGAGGATTTCCGGAAGATCCCCACCGACCTCGCGCGCCTGAAAGGATGCAGTTCACCGCAAAGCCCAAGGACCACTCGGTGTCCGTTCCCTGTAGCTCATCATACAACCCTGCAGCACGGGATGCGACGAGACATCTCTCTGATGTGCTTCTTGGGAAAGGAAAAATGGCGAAATTCAGGCTAGCCCAATGATGCAGTTCCGACAGAGCCTGGGAAGCGCCCCCGGAAGACCCGTTCTTTGCTGCTAGGTTTCGGGCGGAATGCAAGAACTGTGCAGCCGAGTGGGGCGGGGAAAGAAGATGTTGTTGGATCTCACAGAGGTTCACATGAAAAGTGAACAGTCGCGTGGCCCCTGGGAAAGTTTTGTTCTCTGCATGCAGGCTTTCCACTTCGATCTTAGTGACTTGGAGACATTCAGAGGGTATTTGGTGTAAGTTGGACAGTTTTTGACCGTTTTTGCATAAGTTTGGAAGCTTGAGTGAGGTGTATTTTTTGGTGTTTTCGGGGATGTTGGGTGGGTTGTGAGCTGTGAAGGACTTGGCGATGTTTCTTGTTAGGCTCAGGATCTGGATGTGGCTATGGGTCCGTCCGTGTCGAATACCACGCAAGCTTGGCACCTATCTCCCAACACCCCGCACACACACACACCACCAATGCCACCTCGTCGTGCAGTGCTTGTGAGGAGTTCCACTGTGTCGGGGCGAAGCAAACGCCGCTCAGGCACAGCACCAGGAAGGAGGGATGCATAAACAGCGCAAAGCTCCTGGGGAGGGAGGCTCCTAACTTTCATAGTGAAGGCATGAGCAAACAGCGTTTGAGTGACCATGTGCTCACACCAGTAAGTCTTCCAACGTACTCCGACCCCGTTCCTTCACCACCGGCTGAGATCGCAAGTCAACTGACTAGCTGCAAGATGGCGCCAGAAGGCGGGGGTGGAACTTTATATCATCGCCTCACAACTTGAGCCCCTTCGCGCTCAAATCGGCTTGACGGGTTCTAGGCAACCTGCCCTATATACCCTGAGCGGGTGCATGCTGCACATCACAGAAACTGCACAAGCCGTGCCTGCAGTAAAGTCGCCAGCTCATCACCTGTTCATAGGCACAATCACAAGGATCTCCCCTCCACTCCGGTTTACGCAGCCATGATGTTCAGAATTGTTCATGTATTGTCGAGGACCAACGTGTCTGTTTTTCGAAGTGCAAGTCGATCGGAGCAAAGTCGATCTTAAGACCCAAGTCTCAATGCAAGCGCTTGGTCAAAACCTGGGATTTGCTGTCCAGGAACCGGGAAAGATAAATATCCCCAGGAGAGGATTTATCCGTACCGAAAATAGAAATGACCCTAAGCAAAACCAAGAAACAGCTGGAAAAAACAGTGTTTGGGCTAGCTACAGGCGTAGCATGTTTCCTAGTTCTTCACCTTTTAGCCACGGTGCTCAGCTTGGAAGACCTTCTTGACCAGCTGTCATCCAAGCATCAAAGGGTGCTGATCGTGGGAAGGTTAGATATCTCATTAAGATATATTTCTTTGATCTCTGGTGCAAGAAGACTTGTCCATCAACCGAAACCGCAGCTCCTTTGTAATACTCGACCATCGGCTCCTTGGTGGGATCTCTCCGCTTTCCAGTTCTCAGTCTTCCAGATAGTTTGGGTGGTGTTCCACTAAAGCCCTATGATACCTCTCTGGACTTCTCCGAAGCGGCCAAAACGATGGGAGCGGAAGAGCCTTTCTTCAGCCTTCGGTGGGATGGATCTGGTGTCAGAGCCCTGGTCAGGTCAGTTCCGGACCTGACACCTATCAGCCTATGCTTTGGAACAGAGGGACCGTCCGCCGAACCTTCAGGACCGTCCACCCACCGGCGCGTGGGGGTGTAGGCGGGTCTCTCGTACGAATGAAGTGATCGAGGGGGTGGGTCCCAGGGTCAACCTGAGTGTTCTGGTGCGGTTGGGTCAAACGCACGCCCCGCCCCTGGTCGAAGGTCCCGCGGAGATGGTGCGACGGCGTCGCGGTCGCGACCGAGGTCCTGGGCGGGACCTCGGCCATTGCCCGCGGGACAAGGGAACTGGACCTTCGCAGCTTGCTCCTGTGGTCTGCGGTGGCAAGGCTGGCAGGGGAATGCCGGAATGCATGGTCACGTGGTCTTACTTCGGAAAAGCAAGCGATTCTAGATGAAGGGACATGATCAGAACCTGGAATGTCCAACGACCTACCCCTTGACTGAGGCTCACGAAAAGCTGAGGCTCACGAAAAGCCCTACTAGGTCCACCCGGCCCATCTCCCATCCTCATGGATCGCCGTCCAGGGCCTCGTAGAGCAGCGCGACATCTGGTAGAGCGGCGCCTAGCTCGGCGCTCGAAGGATCAGTTAGTCGCAGTGTTGGACCTCAATCATAGCCAAGAACGCGTGGCATACTACCATCCTCAACCATCATCCCAAACGTGTGCTGAAGATGCATTTCTTTTCGCGAGATTGGGAAAGGAAAGAGCAAGTCCTCAGAGTTCTCAGGTTCTTGAAAGTGAAATTAAATGTGTTTGCTTTTGATTTTTGGCGTATAGCCTATAGCGGCGTCTCTTGTATTTGCATGTATTTGCAGTGGATCCAGGAATTGGAATCACATTGAAACCAACGGAAGAAAGGTGCATGACATGTACTGTACGTATACTTATAGACCTCCTATTTTTCTTCAGGGATGGTGCTTGTCGTGAGGCAACTTGAATCGGCGGAGGAGAATGACCTGTGGATGTGGCGTGAAGTGCCGCACAGCTGAAGAGTTATATGGCCAGACCGGCCAGACTAATAGACTGGCTGGGGAAACCGCTCCAGACGATGTAAGTCAAGGCCGTCAGGGAATCTCTGGAAGTCAAAGGAATCCCACATCTCATGTTTTCGGAATGCTTCGACCACTACCAGGACCATGAGGACACCTCTTGGGACACCCCTCAACCGAGGCTACCTCGTACGGTGTCGCTGCCGACCTAATCCCTTCAAAGCCATGGTCGACCCGGTCCCGGTGCGACTTCCGCCCCGCTGAACACTTCGTCGTTTTCACCCTCGTCACGCCAAGAGGCCAAGCGGCCTGGACAGAGGACCGAGGTTTAGGGCCCTTCCGGGTCGGTCTCGACTCGAGTCGAACGAATTCGACAGGATCAGACCACATGGGAAGGCGTTGACGACGAAGAAACCCAACGAATCCTCGGAGTTTCATTGAAATCCTGCAGAAGATTCTCTGAAGCAATCCACTGCAACAAAGCTGTTGGGACCAGGAGGTCGTTCACGAGGTCCTTTCCGATTAGCCTCATGATCACCCTGGGTGTAACCACACATGAAGCATTGTCAATCCTGGGAGCCCTCGCGGTTGCTTCATGTCGATGCTTTGGACGGCAGAGGGAAACCAGCGGCCTATAATTCTATAATTACTTGTCGCCGATTAGCAAGTATTACATTGATTTTCTCCCACCCTGTGGATGTAGGGACTGTCCTTGCTGTCCCAAACCGCCCAAACCAGCTTCTTGGGGCTGGGATGATTGATCCAATGAACTCTCTAGTCATCAACCCCGGCGTTCACAGGGTGCGGAATGATCTATTTGAGATCATGGTATGTTGGTCTTGATGGTGAATCTCCCAGTCGCGGGCTGTTTCTTCCCAAATCAGTCTCTGGGAAAAATTGCATCCCGCCGAGCAGCAATGGCTAAAAGCCATGAAAAGAATGCAGAACACCCTGAAAGTGGCTTGGGAGCCCCAAGATCAAGATAGCACACTTTACTTGCTTGCGCGTGGATACGGGTCATTTTTGGTGCATTGACTCGTGACATGTCTTGACACTGATACCTAAGATGGACCAGGAAATTGCAGCTTCAGTCATGGAACTCATCTGCATGAGTTCCAGGTCATGAGTTCGAGTGCATCCGGGTATGACGGTGAGATGTCTCGTGTACCGCCGCGGCATGGCGGATGGCGCGATGGCTCGCCGAGGGCCCGGGAGTGGACATCTGTATGGGTCGACTCCTATTCCCAGTGATGGGTCGACTCAGACCCATACAGATAAGACCCATGGCCCATACCTGGTCTATCCTAGATCTATGGTCTATCCTATCTATGGTCTATCGAAAGTCCCAGTTATGGGTGGATGATGATTGTTACTCTTTTCAACAATAGTGATTTGCTTGTTTACGGGTCCTGTTACAGGTCAGTTCGGACCAACCCGATCTATAGGTATCTTCAATCAACTGTCCGGACTCCAGGTCACCTCAACCCCTCCCATCGCGAGCTTCGCTCCCTCGCGGCTCGTCTCGCTCTTCTCAGCTCGGCGTGGCACGGCGCGCTCCGCCCGACTCCGCGGCGCCTGCTTTCTCCAGCTCGGCTCGGCGTTCCGAGCGCATGCCTCGCATGCCGAGCAGCTTCGGTGCGCTTTCGCGCCCACGGTGAGGCGGGGGTTGCGACATCTTAGGAGATGCGCCATGACTGACACGTGCATTCCAGACGTGCATGTTCCAGTTTGGTGAGTTTCGATGGGACAAAACAACCCTTCAGCCAAATTAAGATCCCATCATCAGGCTTCTCCCAAACATCTAAGAGATGTTGAAGAACCCTGAGACTGCATAAGACTCAAAGAGCACCCAGCTTGTCATAGCACCTAAGTATGTCCATGAATGCTTTAGGTCTCCAACTTCAATCCAGCAACACTTCTTCCCCATTCCCCACCACTGTCCCCACCACTGTTGCCCATCTTCATCCATCTTCATCCCGCCTATGGAAGAGCTTCGCAAGCCCAAAGGCTCAAAGATCTCCTTCTTCACCAACTCTGCGAAGCGCGACGCCTCCGCGTCGCCTTCCGCGTCGCCTTCCGCGTCGCCTTCGGCGTCGGCGGCTGCACCAGCCACGGCTGGCGCTGCACCCGCGGCGGCTTCTGCGACGCCGGCAAGCACCTCAACGGGCACAAAGAGGACACCCACAGTGACTCATGTTACCCTACCGCTCAAATCATAATCCGCATTAAACTATGTTACCATGGGGGTTAAATGAAGTCATTTGGACCCTCAGGGACAGTTGGTGGTCATTGCCAGTGGTGGGGAGCTTGAAATTGGAGTTGACTTGGCCATCCTAGTCCGTGTACAAGCGGAGAATGTTCTGGCAAGCCAACAACAAAACACCAGAGGGAGCCTGTGTCCACCACACACATCCGGAGATGTTGCAGCAAGGATGGGTGATGGTTTTGGAGAAATCTCGCTCTGCGAAGTTGGCGCACCACACCAAGTGACATGTCCTTCGGAAGAAACATGCAGTAACTTCTATCAAACCCAAAAACTCCATGGGACTGCCATATACGCCTACATTGACCCCTCTGGCACCACCCCTGGCCGTTTCTCGGCAGTGTCCCAGATGGGTCATGTCTGGGAAACCTTACCACGGACTTACCATGTCATTGAGTTTCCTTAGAAAGCACAGGTCGAAACAACCATACCAAGTCGAGGAACGCTTTCCACCAGGTTCGGGTTAGGGGGGGCTCAGGCACGGAAGGCGAACATCGCTGCCACAAGCGGGCCGGAAATGGTCGTCACCAATGTGTTCCCCCCACATGAGTAGTGGAATGTAGACCTAATCTATTGGAAATAGAAACCTATTCCCTAGAAGTCCAGGTCGACTATTTTCGGCGCCACCCAAGTAAAGGAAGTTCCTTTTCGGATCACCTAGTCAGACCGTTTTGAAAATGGTCGACTGGACTCCCAGGGTATTGGATCAAACTCGATGGCTTCATGGAACGGGAATGCTCAGATGGGCTTCCGAAAGCGAGGCAGGTTCGGGAGCGGCCGGTTCGGAACAGCCCCACGCCAATTGGATCAAATCCTCTGTCATATGGTGGCCACTTCGCCTGGAAGTGTCTGCAGGAAACACAACGGATTCCGCCCATGGGGGGGGAGCTCTGATTGAAAACGATTCACCAAACGTTGAACGGCGGCTTGGCACGGATTCGGCATGCTGCCAGGTACGTGGAGATCGGACCTCCATGCTTTCACACGACCCAAAGGGGACATCCCTTGGCTGCTCGCGAATCGGACCCCATCACGAGCGGATACACTGCACCTCTTGAGATGAAGGTTCTCAATGGTCCTGCACTCTGACTCGCTAACATGGAAGTGGATGGCACCACCTGTTTGGAGGAAGATTAGAGTTGTAGGGTTGTACGGGCCTATTTGCCACGTCCATAACTATTTATAACTAGGAGTTGTAGCTGGGCCCTACTTGGCCCATGGAGACCCCGCTCTGCGACATTCCAGCGGAAAAACACCAAGCACCGGCCTCCTTTTCACACGACCACGAGCAGTTTCGAAGCGTGACAGAACTCGTGAGCCACGGCTGACTTCGCTGCATTCGTGTCTCATCACGAAGCGCAAGAGCGCAGACATCAAACGACGCTCCAGCAAGCATTCGTTCCTAAGCGTTTTTTTAGCGTTCCAGCGTTGTCTGCGCCATGAAAGCCCGGCACTCACAGCACGTTTGACGGTGCGAGTGGTGTTGACAATTCACCACAAGTCAAATGAACCTATAGACGCAACCTTATAGACTTCACCAATCAAACCGTGCAGACCGATGAACGGTTTGAGCCCACCGCGCGCCAACTCGTCGGCCGAGATCCCATCAACGTGATGTCCCGGCAAGGATTCGTTAGAGACACGGCTTGTGTTTTCTGCTGATGAACAAGCCCTGTCGTTAGATTGAATTGGACATGTCAATCTTCATGTGTCTCAGGGCTTCAGAGGTCACTTGTCATAGTTTCTTTGACAAAGTGCAATATGTAGTATGTCAGAGCTATATGTCAATCCTTTGAGGTTTGCTGAGATGAGGTTCCTTCGTTCAACCACACAACATAGGCAGTCACGGGCCATCTTTCCACGACACCATCCCAAACATGTTCTAAACATAACCCAGACACGACTAATGGGACTGCCATATATGCCTACATTGGGCCCTCTGGCACCACCCCAACTGATCGGCATCAATGGCAGTCCCATGGAGTGTCTGGGTAATATGCAAACGTTCCCTTTCAATCTGGAGGGGGACATGCGGTCTTCAAGTAGATGGAGTCTACGCTCCTGTACCGTTGAATTCTTCCTTTCGAAGCTGTGAGTCGCTGTGCCGTTCAAAGCAGCGGCGCAAACCAAAAGAAGCCTTTCTCGCACCAAAGCACACTCACAACATAACCATACACCACGTCTGACACCATCACAACAGGACCGGCACACCATCACAACGGGACCACGACACCATCAGAACAGGACCGGGACACCATCAGAACACCAGATCTGCCGCATTTGGCCCGACCGAGGCCCGTCTTCCAGTTTTTGCGACCGAACCCTGCAACACCGGCGCAACTCAGGGTGACCTGGAGGAAGGTGGGGAGGCTCCCAACCGATGCGGATGTGACCAGGGGAACTGACTCCGGTGGCAGCTCAGAGGGTGGTGTTGGACGGTGCGACGCAGCCGATGATTCGAATGGCATGCTCCGGCATCCGGGAGTGCTTTTGAGACGTCCAAAAGCTGCACGGATGACGCTCCTCAATAGTTGGAGTGTCCCGTTGATCGGATGTGTGCACTTCCAACGATGGCCATGTGAAAAAGAACACGGTAATAATAGAAATAAGTACTTGAAGCCTCTTTGTCGAGGAAAACATAGGAAAACTGCCTTCCAAGGAGGAATCCATCCACTTTCCGATTTGTAGGATAGAGATGGATAGAGTGCATCTAGAATCTAGATCTTGGTGTCAAGATGTATTGACGCTCCCAGGCGCATACCAGGCAGGGCTGTCATAGCCACAGCGGCGTCCAGGCTCCCAACCTTCTGCCAGCGGCTGCTGGCAAATGTGCTGTAACACCTGACAGAGTGAGGACCCGGTCCAGTCATTGAAATCATCCCTAGGGCTCTAGGTACTTGGACCCTCCTGGCACCCACCCCAGTCCCACCTTCTTAGAAGGTACTTGGAGCTCTAGGGCATAGGTGTTGGGAAGCACCTTTCAAGGACCCGAAGTGCTTGAGGGACGGCTGGGTGGACGGAAGAAAAAAGAAATATCTTCCCTCACAGCCAGTCCTGTGGGCTGGACGGCTGCGCTTGCACCCACCTACAGTGCTTTGCTACAGTGTTTTGCACGTGTCTTGCGTCTCAGAAAGCCTACGGCCGGAAGCAACGACCAACGACCGACCAACGAGAAGGACCCTTCAACACGAGGATGCACCACTTCTTCGGCCGGCACCTCCTCGGGGCTCTTCTTCTCCGGCATCTTGAGAGTCGAAGCCCAAAGTCCAGCGGTATGGGTCAGACAATGACCTGACCACACCGGTGTCTGTGGGCTGACACCCGCGTCTGTGACGCGGCGCGCGCGGAAAAAGCACGGTCTCCCGTGCACTGGCTGCAGGTGTGTTTGTTGTGGAAAAAAATGAGACCTGATCAGTGGAGAGCTATCCACCTTTGTCCATGGGATAAACCAGGCTTTACCAAAATGCCTGGCCAATCTTCAAGAGTGGAGGAGAGTGATATTGCGGGGGGTTCAGCCAAAAAAGGGATAGCACCAAACCTCCCAAAAGCAAGAACCAATGACCAGAGTCAGAGAAGAACCTGGATTTCCCCACAGTCAACAAAACGCCCGCGATGTTTGCAGAAATTCACCAGCATCCAAGAAATCCACCCCGTCATCCAGGGCCCAAAGCCTCAATCCGAAAACAGACCCCCCAACAGTTCAGTTCCAGAACGACCACGCTGGCGGCGCCGCGTATGTTGCTGCAGAGTCATCTCCGAGCGGCGTAGAGTCACCTGGGACTTGCCCTTGGTTCCAAATCCCGGGAGGAAACGCTCCACGGCATCGTCGAAGCTCAAAGCGCCTCGCTCCTCTGCGCGAGGGCCGTGGATCGGGCCCTGGGCCTGTGCCAGGTGGTTGGGCGTGCTTGTGTTCGAAGGATGCAGGCTTAAGACACTTGTGCCAGGAAAGAAGTATCTCTTGTGGGGGGATCGCTTTTCCACATTTGCCCTCGCAACTGGGTCGTAAAAGATTGATAGAGAATCTGGGTCGTCACTGCTTTCATAAGGTGTCATCTATATGTTCCACGGAAAACTGACGAAGTCGGAGTTCCGTTTGATGGGACACCAGGAGTGCACTGCCAGCTGCCAGCAGCTGGTCAGTGGAGTACATGGATGAGTGGACCTCGGTACCACTTCTTTGGTGTGGGTGAATTGTTCTTCGGCACAGCGATCTCGGCATCTCTAAGAATGTTGATAAGTAGGTTGATTTTGCGAATCCCAAGCCACTTCTGAGCTATGGCTTGCCTAAACAGCTTAGCGTCTTTTCCAGAAGTTTCACTTGAAGTGGCTCCCAGTCAAATGAACAACTGCGTCCAGTGGGCACTACTCCGCTATTTACTGTGTTCGCTTCCCTGCTTCCCTTGCTTGTCTCCCAAACAGCAATCATTGCTGAACTCTAAAGACTGAAGAAAGCCCGCCAAAAGGAAACACCAAGAGTTCGATCCGAGTCCACTGAAACGCTCGCCTCGCCCTGTCGTTGTTCCCGTGGGAGAAGGGACCAGCGCCGCCCCCAGCGCCCTCCTGACCAGCGCCTTCCTCCACCCTCCCCCCGTCGTGGGCGCCACCGCCAGCGCCCTCCTGCAGCTTCGCCAAGAGGATCGCCACCAGGGGTTTCACTGAGCTGCTCCAGCACAGCACGTCGTCCTTCCGCATGGGCCGGCCCGGCGCCGCCTCGGGACTCGCGGCGTCGTCTCGCGGCGGGAATCGGGAGGTCGTACGACATGGTGAACCAGGAAGCAAGCAGTCGTTTCCCTTTTAAAAGAAAAGCGATGTGAAAACACACTACCAGGCATACATGGAAATGGAAAAAAAGAAGAGCAAGCATGGGCATGGGTGTTCAACATGTTCTTAAAGCTTCTTGTGTGCAAGGATATGTTCACACGTGTTGCAATGAATCATTAATCATTAACGCAAACTCCACAAGGTTCGTATTGTGACCGGCACTGTTCAAAACTGATTTGTCAAGTATCATGAATCTGTCGTTCTTCGCTTGCAGAGCCCTTGCTTGCCAACAGCTGCTGCAGCTTCCCAATCAAAGCTTACAAGCCCAAGATATAGTGACAATTAACATAGAACCATTTTGATGACAAACCCATCCTTCCACAAACCAGCTGTCTTCCCATGACAGTATCAGTAACACTCTTATACTATGACTCTTTTACACCCCGTGTGTATCTCAAAGGTCCCAGAGATGGACACTCTCAACACACAAAGAAAACATGTCAAACAATAGGGGTAGGAATTCCCCTGCCCCGTCAGGGGTGGTCATTTGCTCGGAAATTCGTCAAGCAGTGGTCAGAACTACCGCCAAGCCCAGTGGCTCACCTCCCCGACGCACAGTTCCATGGAGACCCCACGATGGATGACCGCCAGCTGTGCGCCGTAGTGGAGGCCCTCCTGCAGGTCACTTCTTCCTCTTGGGGACCGGTGGACAGGAAGAAATCCGGTCGACTTGTTTCAAGGCCCTAGGAATCCAGCTACCTCCGTTTCGCTTCGATTGGGCCAGGAGGGGCTGGGTGCGGAGGTCGAAGACCGGAGATGGGCCAGGGAGGGAGCAGGCGAGCTCTCCTCCACCCCACGCTCCAACTCCGCCCGCGCCCGCGCCAGCGCGCCGGTGCTGGAACCAGCGCGGCCGTGGGCCATGGCGCCGTCAGCGGTGGTAGTGTTCAGCTGGTACAGGAAACCTGTCAGTACCGTTTGAAGGAGATATTGGTCATGTTGCTTCCAAGGCTTGGTCCAGAACACCCAGCGTCTTCGACTGGCAGCTGACTGGGCTGTCAGTCTTCACATACGTTGGGCTGAATCCCCCCAAAACGACCTGATCTCCTACTCTCCATCAGATCCCAAACAGATCCAAAGCGGTCATGCAATCCCCAACAAAACGACCTGGAACAACCTGGAGACGAGATCCAAACCAGTCACGCCTATCTCACAGGTTCCTGTGAGTTCGTGCTTCCATGCAGTTTGCAAGAGTGTTGAGCCGTTCGGCTGCGGCCCCATGTGGACACACGGGACCTCCGGGTAAGCGGATGCGGTGCCACGGTGCGTGGTGTTGGTCTCCTGATGGGACTTGACCACCAAGTAGGAGTCAGAACTTCACGGTAGATTCAGAGTAGATGGCACAAACCCCAAGAGGTACTGATTTTATGGAGCATCATATATCAAAGCATCTTGGGGTGCCAGTAGCATCGAACCCCTGAAACCACTTTGCTACTGAACACTTAGACTTGCTAGTATCCGAGTCCCAAAGCATCCCAAAGCCCACCCACCAGTCCCTCTTTGTGGAAACGGCGATCTTTCTTTTCTTGGGGCGATCTATTCGGCTTCATCTTCGCGATGTCTTCTTTTTTTCGTCAGTTCGGTGCAGCCACACGCGGTCTGGATCCTCCGTGACCGAGTCCTGGATCCTTTTGGTCCCACGAAGCAACCAGGCAGGAATGTGACGGTCCCAAACCGAGAAGTGGAGAACCGCTTCTCGAGTTGTGCCAGAGAAGATGGTGCTTAGATCGAAGAAATCCTCGCTCCGGTGGGTTTCACCGGTCTTTGACGCAAGACAAACAAACAGGGTCAACAACCACTAACTATATAACATCAATACATCCTCACTTCCATCATGGTTCTCGATCATTTTGAACTGTGTGGCAAAAGTTTCCAGCTATGATGAGTTGCCTCATGTCTCCCCATGTGCAAACACCCTGTGCCCATTCCTGTCATCTCGCACCATGTACTGTAGAGTTTCTTCAAGCCATAGACGAGGCACTCCACAAAAATGTCATCAGGTGCTACGGCTACAATAACAGCCCAGCACGTGGCAACCTATGTAATGCAAGTATTATTGCACAGACTGACTATGGGGTTGCCACGTGCTCCCAAAACTGAATCTACTTCTGCCAAATCATTCAACGTCAGCTTCAGAGACCGGGTCAAAGTGAGAAGTTCCTCCAGATTCCCTTGCCAACACTGAAGTTCGGACAACCTGTTCAGGGTTTGCAATGGCAAATCAGTGGATTCACACTGGATTCATCCAACTTCTAAGGCGGACATCCCAAACCAGAAAAGAGAATGCCATGTCGAATGCAAATCATTGTTTTAGTGTGGATCCCCAATGAGTCCAAAGCCCATGGACGCTGTGTGAGGTGCCCGTGGTTGTCAGGGTCAGGGTCAGGTCCCCTAACTCGTTGCCACATCACAGCATGAAAGGATCTTGGTGCATGCCAGATCTGACCAAAACAATCAAATGTCACATCGAAAGGATGGGGATGGATCGGGACTCAGCGGAAGCAAGCTTGTACAGCAGTTTCAGAGTAGAATGGCGCACTGCAAGATATCTTTATAGATGGGGGGTCCAAACAAAACCGGGATTGTGCCATCTATTCTGGAACCACAACAGTACAGTCTTCTCATGTATTCTCCTGGAAGTAAGATTAAGAAAGCAAACGTCTCGGGCCCCCGGCTCCGGCGCCCCTGGATCATCTCGCCCGCGTCCAGCCGGACCCCTGCCACGGCCTCGGGCGCTCGCTCGGCGCTCGCCGGCGCTCGCCAGTGATCGAGGTCGCGATCGGACCGGCTGGAGATGGGCTCCGCTTCACCAGCCTTTTTGGATGGATCCAAATGGTTGACAGGGGTCAAAAAGTGTTTGTGAAGTGGAGAATTCCGGAGTTTACATCAACAAGATCCGACTACACATCCTGCCCGTGCTGTCGCCACGTTGATCTTTGGGTGATCCCGAGAGTTTCGCGAAATCCTTCGTCAAGAGTCCTTGGTCAAAGGAAGCCGCATCTTAGTGTGTGTGTGCGTATACAGTGATTTCAGAGTAGATGGCGCAATGCCCAATGTCTGTGGTTTAGTGGGCGGACCTCATCTGTCAATTCGATGTCTATTGTTTTTTCCAACAGACTAGAGCCCATTTACTGTACGGTTATTGCAAAAGAGTGGGCCAACCGAGTAGGGCCACCGTTATAAACCTAACTGCTGCCTGCGCTGCGGTGGTCGGAAATGAAGAGAACCACATAGTCCACAGTTGGAGGAACAGTCACTGAGGAATCACAAACACAGCAACCCGAGAAGAACATGCAAACACAAAGCAAACCGGGGGAAAGACATATGACCGCTATCTCTTAAGAGATGTTTATCAGAAAAACAAAACGAAGGGAAAAGGTGACATAATTCTGGTGGTTTGTTTCAATGAATGCTGCATCTGATCTCCCCAGCCAACTTCCCCAGCCAACTCGTCCACCCCCAAACCCCCCACCGGACCGCTGCTCTCGCAGCGTTCCTGGGTGCCCCGTGCCCGACAGGCCGGCAAGTCCTTCAGCCGGCGCTGACCTGACGCTGCGGTTTCTGCGCTTTCTCCACCATGAGGAGGAGCTTATGCTGGGAAGAACAGAGCTGGGTGAAACAGAGCTGGGTTCTTCCGAAAGTGATGGAAAGAATTGGACACCAGGAACATGATTGAACACCTGGGTTTTTGATGCAAAGAATTGGAAGCAGAAACTATATGAAGAAGATGACGTGCAAGCCTGAAGGGACTTGCACATGTCAGATTACAAAGCCAGTTCAACACCCTTTTGGGGTGGAAGATTGGAAGGTGAAAGGATCGATCATCCCCTTTGGGCTTTCTCCATGCCACACCTTCCCACAGGCGAAGGGAAGACTTGACACAGAGACATAGACAGACAGAGCGGTCCCTGGCACTCCACAGCATGGCATGCTATTGGGATGTGGTACCCTACGGTACCCCGGCGCGTTCTTTCCCAAAAAGGTGGGCCATGAGCACCTGACAGTTGGCTGGACCCAACGGCTTCTCCGTATCCACGATCAATTGCTCTCTATTGCTGAAATAAAAGAGATAGCAAACGATCAAAATGAGGACTCTCGGGCTTTAGCCACATTCTCCCGCCCTTCAGTCATCATGTCGCTTCCATACAACCAAAAACCGCCAACTTAAAAAGAAAGAGTCGAAAAGAACCGGAAACAACACGCCGCCCCAGTGCCGCCCCCCCTTCTTTTCCTCTTGTTTCCTACGCGATCACCCACCCAAAACACCACGGGTGTGGCGCCCTACCGGTTTCCCTTCCGCCGTGTCTCACCCCGACCCGTCTCACCCTCTCACCCCCGCCCTCCCTCCCTTCGCCCGGGGCGTCGGACTCCAGGTGGCTCCGATGGAACGAAAATCGCGCGGACCTCGCGCCGCCGCCGTCGCTCGCTCCGTCGAGTCCGACGCTCCGTCCAAGCGGACGGGGGGTCGTCCGGTGGGTTGGGGGACGAGTCCCCTGCGGGTCGGAGCCGGAGCGATGGAGCCCAGGAGCCGGACCGGCGAATCGCTCCAAAAGTGGATGATTTTGGACCTTATAGTCCTGGTTGTTGTGGGATCTCACTGAGAAGGTTCCACTGACCAGGTCATGAAGCCCCGACAGGTGAGAGATATACACCCTACTCACCTCAAATATCCCTCCCCTGGCCGTCCTCAGTAGTAAAAAAACACCTCTGAGGTTCCTCAAGTTCTTTTTTTACCAAACGTCGTTTTTTGGTCCGACGTTTTTTTGGACTTCCTATACCTGGTGCAACCGAAGTTCTTTTGCATCAGTCCGATGTTTTTTTGCACCGGGATGACCGGCTACCGGCTCTTTAGCTAGTGTAGCTGTGGATGTGCTCAACATTAATTGACACGGTGTTTCTCGGCCAACGTTGAATGGTACAAATCGAGCGTGGACAAACCATGGACAAACCGTGGAACAGTAGATGTTTGGCGTGGACAGGGACCTTCGAAAACTCGCCCCATGTTCGATCGGGTGGATTCGGGATGAGCTGGGATTCAGGTCTTGGGATCCGACGTGTTGTTGGGGATCGCTCGGATGTTTTTTTTGCATGACCAATCAATGATCTAACGATATCTAACGGATATATTTTAGCGAAGCGAAAAAACCTGTGAGAAAAGATGGTTTTGCAAAACAACTACTGTTAGGAGAACGGTGGTTTATTTTTACTACTTTTGGATCCCTAGGGCCTCAGTACTTGGAAATCTGAAGTCCTTGCACTCCTTCACATGCGGAAACGGGTTGCTTCTTCGCTCGTGCTTCAGTTCACTGCTTCAAACATCACTCAGCGCCAGGCCGAAAAATTCGCCCTTGTAGTACAAGGGCTTCTCCTCTGCCTCTGACTCATCCTCGTCCAATCCTGGCAGCAATCGTCGGCGACGTCCGATCACGACGTCCGACCAAGGTTTCGGCAGGTTTCGGCCACGTCTGTCGCGCGACTCAGGAGGATTCGTAGGGATTGAGGTTCAATCCCTCAATCCCCATCCCGAAGCACGCACTACATGAAGCTCGAAGCTGATCGGGGGTGAGAAGAAAAAGAGAGAAGACTCAGGGCCCGGTCTAGGAAGCGCTGCCTCACTCCGAGCACGTTGTTTGATGATGGCTTGCCAACTCTTAGTAGGTGGGGGAGGGGAAGGACTTAACTCAGATTGACCAAGGGCCAAGGAGATGGAGAGAGACAATTCTTCCCACCAGATTTCAGCCGCAACCAACCGGATTCGTGGAAGACGGCTGGATGGAATCTGATTCCTCAACAACCCAGGGAGTTCGGAGGTCCACTCTGCGGGAGTTAGAGAGCTCGGTGAGCCAAGCATTTGCGGTTCTATC